CATGTTTTGTCTACTCCTTCCCTCACAACAATACTCTAAGCTTCTTTGGAACAGAGACTGGTTCACCTACCTGAACACCACAATTCTCAACAAATACTTGTCATCACACTCGTTTGTATAAAATAAATTAACTGGTCCAAAAACCATACAGAGAATACACAGCCAAGAACTAGAACACATTTAGACTTCCAATCCAGTGCTAATTTTATTAGCCTATTGCTTCCAAAGGGTCCTATTTCTGCTTACAGTTTTAGTGTGTGACTTGCTGGGCAAAAATCCAAAGTGATCGTTCATTATTCATCAATCATCCCCCAGGTTTATCACATTGTACTCAGTACTTGGAGAAATGAGTTATACTTACATCTTTTGGAAGAAGAATCATGGTTATGCTTGGGGAAGGCAGATCTTCAATTAACAAAGAATTCCATAATGAATGCACATATTTGTTAGTTTCCCACATGACTCTTGGGATATGGTTCTACATATGGTGCTTCCTAACTTTCCTCCTTTCTTTCCCTGGCAGGGCCCGAAAAGAACGATACTTTGAATTCCCCCTACTAGAGCGATACCTGGCATGTAAGCAGCGCTCACATTCACTAGTGGCCACCTACCTCCTGAGGAACTCCCTTTTACTCCTCTTTACCTCAGCCACATACCTGTACCTTGGCCACTTTCATCTGGATGTCTTCTTCCAAGAAGAATTCAGCTGCTCCATCAAGGCAGGGTTACTACATGATGAAACTCATGTCCCTGACCTGATTACATGCAGGCTGACCTCCTTATCCATTTTTCAGATTGTCAGCCTCTCCAGTGCAGCAATATACACCTTATTGGTTCCTGTGATAATATACAACTTCACACGGCTGTGTCAGTGGGACAAACGACTCCTATCTGTATATGAGATGCTCCCAGCTTTTGATCTCCTCAGCAGAAAGATGCTGGGATGCCCAATCAATGACCTCAATGTAATTCTTCTTTTCCTCCGAGCCAACATCTCTGAGCTCATCTCTTTTAGCTGGTTGAGTGTCTTATGTGTGTTGAAGGACACAACCATCCAGAAGCATAACATTGACACAGTGGTCGATTTCATGACGTTACTGGCTGGCTTAGAACCCTCAAAACCCAAACATCTCACCCAACAGATGTGTGATGAACATCCATAGTTAGTATATAAAGAAACCATGCAATGAGAAATTCTGTGGAAAGCAAAAGTCTTTCACCATCTTTAAAAGTCACATACAGCAATACACACACAAAAAAAAAATATCTACTTTAGCATTGCCAAGCTTGGATTCACCTGACTTACATAACCTTTATCTGTTAAGAAGATAAAATCAATATACAGAAACAAATGTGAAAGCTGGAATTGAAGAGTCAAAGAACTAAAAAATTAGATTCTAAAGGCTATTTATAAAGACTAGTTCTCCTTACTATATTCACTCCATAGACCTTCTAGGATGCATACATGGACTTCCCCCAAGACAGAAAGTAGAGCAATCTGGTAAGAGATTAATAAAGATGTGAAACTCTTTAGCATGGCCTAAAATCCTAGGAATTTGCCCAGACTGCTTTGGGGAATTCATCAGCCTTACCAGGCCCTTTGTGGTCTGTAAAATAATCCAAGAGATAATGATGGCTTCAATTTATAATCTGGTCTTAGAGTTTAAGACAAGAGAGGCAGGACCATGCATAGCCATGAGAAAAGTCTTGAAATGTCTAGATACACTTTTCATCATCAAAATCAAGGACTCGTTTCACCAAGGACTGGGATTATGAGCTACTATACCTTCACATACAGCCACTAAATAGCAACCATTTATAACTACACAGGATAAACAGTAAAGTACTATTGAGCCCCTCCTCTCCTTCTCTTATTCATCAATCCATCCTTATACTTAACTCCAAATCCTATGTCTGGATTTAATGGATCCTTGATCCAGTTCCATGGTATTCAGCCCACAATACAATGATGTCTCACATTTTATATTTCTTTTTAAAGCTGCATATTATCACTTCTTCAGAAAAATCATTGCATGGACCCTCCTTTCTTCATATAAGTAAAAAAGCTATGTTGCTTCTAACTTAAATTACCTTTAAAAAGCAAACACTGATGATGTACAGACATTCATTAATGACTTTCTATTGTCATTAAGAAATCCACCTCTTCAGTTGCTACACAAAGCCTTTCATGATCTAAAACCTGCCCACTACTTCAGTCTCTCCTCTTGCTTCCCATACAGCTTTCACTTGTATCAGCCACTTGCAGTTCCTGGGTTTTTCCTGATGCTCAGTTTTTTAATATATTGTCTCCACTGCCTGGGAGACCTTCCTCTGTTCTTCACTAAGCCAGCCACTACTTCTCCTTCAGAGTGTACCTGGACACATTTCCTTCAAAAAAACCTTCCTGTTTACTTCCTTCTTTCCTTACTGAATGCTGCCATATCAAACAAAACCTACCTCTGAAATAAATTTACTACATTGTATTAATATCGCCATTTCATTTGTCTTAAGTTTGCTAAAGACTTATTGGGTCATAAAATAAAAATTCTTCTACAAAAATTAGTAAAAGAATGCTCAGTAGCACCACATTCTTTGCAGCATGCAAATCCAGCCTTTGAATGGAAAAAACCCTGTGCACAAAGATGTAATTCACAGCAATTAACCAAACAGTCAAAGAACAGCTAAATACTTATGAAAAATAGAATACAGACACACTGTAATATTGACTAGCCACTTAAAATTATGCTTACAGGGCTAAGGATGTAGCTCAGTGCTAAAGCACTTACCTTATATGTGCAAGGCCCTAGGTTCAATCCCCAGCACTGGGAAAAAAAATCAAATTATATTTATGAAGAAGTCATAACACTGTAAAATAATGATAATCACAGTAAATGAGCAAAAAGAAAACCTAACATTTAGTAAGGTCTAACCTACATAAAAATTCATGAAAAAAAATTAACATGTTAGGAGTAGTTTTCCATAAGTTGCAGCATTATAAATTTAGTTTGTGTATGTTTGTGTTTGTTGTTTTGCAGTGCTGCGAATCAAAATTTTAACTTGAATTATGTGATCAAGCCTCCAGAATGATTTTTTTTTCCTTTGAAGAGCTGGGGATCAACTCCAGGGCCCCTGAATGCTAGGCAAGAGAACTACTATTGAGCTACATTTCCAGTCCCATAAATTTTATTTTTAATCCTCTTTGTTTTTAATTTTTAAATTTCTACATTTCTACTTTAAATTTCTAAAATTTGCAAGAAGTGTTTTAGAATTGTAAAAAAAATAAAGTTGTAATGAAGAAGAAACAATAAACATTTTTAAACTAATTCCATTGAAGTCCATTGGTCAGAGAAGCCTGCAAACTAAGAAAAGGATGGCACTTCCCTTCCACCCGGATAAGTAAGATACCTGTAGAAGATGAATGATACAAATAAAGTCAGATCCGAAAGCCTACAGGGACAAACACAGCAGGACAGCAAATAAACTAGAGTTAGCAAATATGAATTTTTAAAAGAAAAAAAAAAGAAAGTCTTTTCCTATTACTGAGGCTATTTTCAGGTTCCAAGGTAAAATTCCTATATGTATTATTAAAAGGCATAATTTGGGTATTTTGTGAACTGGAAATGGTCCTGGAAGTTGCCAAAACTGAATGTACATGGCCTTGTTAGGTACTTTTGAGCTGTCTTGTTAACACCCAGTCAAGTCCAACAAGGGCAACTTACAACATGAATGAAAAAAAAAAAAACTTCCATAAGCTTTATACTAAACCATTGTGCAAGCAAGATTCTGTCACCATTTTTACAATTTTCGGAAATGAATCAATTCTATACCTTTTATTGACTTCTGGTTGTTATTCATATTAGTGTTATAACATTTTTCTCTAGTAATTTCAGCTAACTTATTAACTATGTAACATTTTCCTGAATTTCCATATTTGATTCTAGAAATATACATTTCAAATGTTGAACGGTAATTATACTTTTTATCAGTACAGATTATAAATCCCAATCACCTCATAATTTTAGATATATTGTTATAAGACAAAAACAACTATGAGCCAGTGACTCACTCAGTTAGTTAGCAGCACTGCTAAAAGAATGTAATCCTGCCATTTGGCCTTAGGTGCTTGATGGTTTTGTACACTGTATCATCCTTATTTGGTAATTTCACATAGAGCATGGTTATCAAGTTAGAACTATGAAAGGATATGTTCAGAAACACACTTTCATTAAGAAAATATCTAATAAGTGCCTACTTTGTGCTGGTATTAAAACTGCTAGTTAAATCTTCCATAAATAAAAATAACGAACTGGCAAACCCTCAAAAAAAACAAAAAGAAAAATCTTTCACCTTCCCCACTAGATTCAAAACTATGAAAGAGCCAAGTCTTTCTATTTACCGTGGTCTTAGCTCTAGGAAAATCAGAATATACGAAACATGTTTGAGAACTGCATAAAGAAGTAGTCCCAGCACTTGTGTCCAGGTTATTTCCTACAACCCAAGAAGGCTGGTCAAAATGAAATGTGAAAAACAGGTGTTGAAAGGCAGTGGCCTGGGAAAGCGCGACCTAGAGTTCACGATGATAGGTTTTTATTTACTCGCGCCGTAACTCAGCAATAGTTTTCCTCCGCTATGCGCTAAGACACAGCGTCACTGACTGTCCTTTCCCGCCGCCGCCCCTTCCAGCGCTCCACGTCCCACACCCTCCACAAAATTGCGCGCCGCTCCTCAGAGTCCCAGAATCTGCCTCGCGGGAGCACCTTGAGCTCCCCGCCCAGGAAATTACACGCAGCCGGCGTCATTACGCAACTTCCGGCGGGGCTTACTTCCGAGACAGACGCGGAAGTGTTAGAAGGCGCCGGCTGCCGGTTCCGCTGCAAAGTTTCTGACCCTGTAGTCCTCCTTGAGGACATCCTGTAGAGCTAGTATCGTGCAGGCCCGATTTCGCCAGACTAGAGCAGACAAAGCCCGCGCTCTTCCCCGCCAGTAGGCCTCGGAGCTGATGTCGGCCTCATCCTGGAGTCCCCGTAGTGGGACCAGACCATGAGCCTCTGGTCTGCCTGGCCTCGTCGCCGCTGGCCCCGCTGCACTCCAGCAAGGCCAAGATGAAAAAGCTCCCGAAGAAGAGCCAGAACGAGAAGTACCGGCTGAAGTACCTGCGGCTGCGAAAAGCGGCCAAGGCCACGGTGTTTGTGAGTCTGACGGTCGTTCAGCCCGCCTCCGCCTCGAAACTTTGCTTCCTCGTGAAATCTTTCCCCAGGCTGATTCCCCTCCCAGAGTGACAATGTTAGCTTTTCAGTATACGTTACTACTTGGATAAAATCCATAATTTTCCTCATCCTGTTTTCTCGTCTGTAAATGAAAGCTAGTAACTAGTTACCCTACTGGAAATTAAATGAAAAATTGCTTGATACTCAGAAGGTCTGCCAATAAATTTTATTTAATCATTATCGTTATTACTGCAGAACTCTCAGAAATGCCTGAGAATTAGGCACTGTTGAACCCTGAAGCTCAGGGACGATTTGCCCAAGGGCACTGTGTCAGAGCCTTCACTCCAACTTAAATCAATTCCGCTTTATAAATTCCACTACACAGCATATTTCCCAGGTATCCCACTGCCCCATAACTGATCCCTTAACTAAACAGGCACATGAACCTTTCGATAATTTCTGTCTTGTTACCCACTTTGAGTCTCCTAGGTGTTTCTTAACTCCCACTCATACATTATGCCTTCTGCTCCTGCCTTTTGTATCGTCGGGGCATCAAGTTCATTAAATGAATAAACTGGTTTGTCTGATATAACTTTATGTTACAACATTCTGATTTGCCTTTATGCCTGGAAATAGGGGTGGAGTCCTCGAATGTTCCCTCATATCTGAATCAATAGTTTATCCCTTCATTCTACCAAAAGCTTAAACAACTCGGATTTCTTGGAAGCATAAGATTTTGTAAATTAGAATACTCCTTCCAAAAATATTCATTCAGCATTTTCTCTGTGCATTGGATAAAAATAAGAAAATTAAAGTTAAGAGAACTTGACATCTGATTGTTTCTTTTATCCCCCATATGCCAAAGTCATGAAGGAGGTTGTGTGAAGAAAAAGGATACTGCTTTGAACTTTCAAACTTAGAGGTTCCATCTGTGGGACATCTGGAATGGAACATTTCCTTCACAATTGGTGCTTAAGAGATTGAGTCATTGGAAAGATGGCACTGGAATATATACAAATAAATTATAAAGTTTAGGAATTTTAAACACTAGATTTGACTTCATTCCAGTTTGTCACTTTAGGGTATAATTATGGGATGCTTTGAGTTATATTTTGTCTTAAAAACCAAAGCTCCCAGACATAGTTCTCATAATTATGTAATAGTATGAATTTAATTAGTATGCCATTTTCTCTGCTAATGGTTATTCTAATTAAAGTGGCCATCTATCTTGGTTTACCAGGGACAGTCCTACTTTACCATATTGTTCTTGTATTATTAATAGTGGCCCCTTTTCACTCAAAGGTGTCTCTGTGTGGGTAATATATAATTAACCTACCTATAATAGAACCTGACTTTCCCTAGAGATTTATTGATAGCTTGTCTGGAAAACATAGAATAGCTCTTCTTATCCAGCAACAACAATCCTTGGTTTGAAATATGGATACTGTTCCCAGAACAATGATTCCCAGAACATAGAATAGCTCTTCTTATCCAGCAACAACAGTCCTTGGTTTGAAATATGGATACTGTTCCTAGAACAATCATTGTTTTTATTTATTTTATTGTGTTTAAATTTTTTTCTTAAAGGAAAATGCTGCTATTTGTGATGAAATTGCTCGTCTTGAGGAAAAATTTCTTAAAGCAAAAGAAGAAAGAAGGTGAGCCAACTTCATTTTGTGTTCAGAATCACATTTTTTGTGATTAACATTGTGTAATTGCTCTTGGGAATTTTCTCCCATTGGATTTTTATGTACTGCACAACCCCTTGACTGCTTGATCAAGTATAGAGAAAAAAAATCTGTGGAACTGGTTTCCAAACCTTGAAATCATGTTGGACCGTGATGATGAGACAACTCCTCTACTCATCTTTCTGAGTCTTCTTGCCATCTAATAAGTAATCTTATTATACCTCCCAAATAGCAAGGGATAATATTCTACAAATATTTGTTCAATCTTTACTTCTCTATACAAAGCACAATGAATATATATACATCCAACTGATGGTATATGCCCTTCCGTCACCTGACACTTTCCAACTTTAAGGTAGAGGAGTTCTCCAGGTACAAGAGAGAAAAGCTACAATCCTTATCCTTGTTTCTTGAAGTATTGATTATCTTCTGGGACTTTGTTATTTTGAGAGTTCAATATGAATCTTATTTTTATGAGTGTGATAATCTTTGTATATAATTCTGGCTTTTTCTGGTGTTTGAGTGAAGTATTTAATTGAGACAAAATGGAAGTTCATACCTCTGCCCTTTCCTTCCCAACCTCAGGTACTTGCTGAAGAAGCTCCTTCAACTTCAGGCTCTAACTGAAGGAGAAATACAGGCTGCAGCTCCTTCCCACAGCTCCAGTTTGCCCCTGACTTATGGTGTGGCCAGCTCTGTGGGAACTATACAGGGAGCTGGACCCATTTCTGGGCCCAGCACTGGGGCAGAGGAACCATTTGGGAAGAAATCCAAGAAGGAGAAAAAAGAAAAAGGCAAAGAGAACAGCAAACTGGAAGGTACATTGTGTTATCAGTTGCTCCCGTGGCTTAGCTACTGATGACAGACCTGTTACTGACTGTTAGACATATGGCCACATAAACACTTTTTAAAGTCTCTTGAGAAGTAAGTACCTTATTAGAGCCACCTTGGATGAATAGATTCTTGTTAGACCTGGTTAAATGTCTGAGGGAGCAGACTGAGACCCCCTCTTTCCCTCTTCCTCCAACTCTCAGGGTTACATTTGCTTCAGTCTTTCCAAGAGGCAGGGAAGTGGGCTCTGTGGCCTTTTGAGCACACTACTAGCTTGGGAAATTTCTGATTTTACAAATGAAGAAGACTTAAAAATGTAATGCTTTAGCTCCTAAGCACTAATATTAAAATTGGTTACCATCTAGGGGCACATTAGAAAAATATTCAAGGCTTTGGGAAAGGGGAAAAATAGTGAATTCAGTGAATATAGATGGTCCCAGACCTAACAGTGGTTCAGCTTAATGATTTTTCAATTTTACAGGATGTGAAGGCAATATGCATTTAGTAGAAACTATACTTTGAATTTTGATCTTTTCCGAAAATAGCAGTATGTATAGTATGATGCTCTAGTTCCATGCTAGGCAGTGGCAGCAAGCCACAGCTCCAGTCAGCTACACAATCATAAAAGGAAACAACTGATATACCACACTGTGCTGTATTGCTAAGCCATGATATTTGGTAAGTTAGGTTAATTTTATGCATTTTCAGTTTATCCTTTGTTCAGTTTATGATGGGTTTATCAGTACATAACCCCATCCTGAGTCAAGGAGCATCTTATATAATACCAAGGCTGACTTATTACCCTTAGCGTTCCATGTATAAATTTTTCCCTTTCCCTCAGCTTTTGGGAGGGGCCTAAAGTGGGTGACCCCAGATTTGCGTTTCAGTTCTGAAGAAAACAATCAAGAAAAAGAAAATGGAGGGAGGTGCTCGCAAGCTGGTTCAGCCCATTGCCCTGGATCCCTCAGGACGGCCTGTGTTCCCCATCGGACTAGGGGGTCTAACAGTATATAGCCTGGGGGAGGTGAGTGAGACCAGCAACATATAGAGAGGAGAATCAGAAAAATCTGGGAATGGGGTTGAGCCTTCCCTCCTGGTTCCCATTAGCAGCCCCTTGCTGATCCATACCAACCCCAGAAAATCTCCAGTCCCTATGAAACCAGGTCAGATTTGTCTGCTACACAGCCAACACTTTCTCTATTCTCTATGTGATTTCAGTCATTCTTTACAACCCAAAGTGGTTCTAAAGACTACCTCCATAAACACAACTTCTAAATCCTCAGTGACCTCAATCCCAGGTTGGGGAAATCTTTTTTATAGATCATCACCGACCGACCTGGCTTCCATGATGAGAATGCCATCTACCCTGTGGGCTATTGCAGTACTCGGGTGTATGCCAGCATGAAGTGCCCAGACCAGAAGTGTCTGTATACCTGTCAGATCAAGGATGGTGGTGTGCAGCCGCAGGTACTCGATCAAATATAACCTCTATTTTTCTTTTCTTTTTTTAAAACCTTTCTGTGTTCCAGGCACTTAATAAGTATCCTAATTCTGACACTTTACAAAGTGGATGCTATATAATCACCATTTGGATAGCCCCAAGATACCAGAGAAGTAACTGGCCCTAAGTCATATCTCTACTAATAAGTGGTTAAACTGGAATATGAATCTGTATCTGATTCTCCATTAATGCTTTTCCATTGAACCACACTACTTTGTCACCACGTGAGGTTTGATCAAGCCTGCTTATATTAAGTACAGGCTCAGATACAGGGAAGATTAATTTGATACACCACCATTTCAGATTGAACCAAAGTGGACATAGCATATGGCTGCATATACTCTTAAGGACCTGGGACTCCTGACCCCTCATGCCATTCTTTATCCTTCTTAGTGCTAAAATGTAATGCAGCTCACTTTCCCCATCTGTTACCTCTTCATATTTGGGAAGAATAGACCATTTTCAGAGTTCCAGGCTTCACTGTCAGATGAGGTTATACATCACTAGAAAATTGTATGGAAGGAGGTTAGAGGCTACCTACCTCTAATATGAGCAAAAGGTGCTAGAATCCTGAGCCTGCCTGATTCTCGTGAGTAATATTGTATCACTCCTGTCATCTGACACTGGTAGGTGAAGTAGAAGTAGAAGAGTTCAAGTACCTTGGTCATGCAGCAATTCTCTTCAGAAAGTAGCACAGAGATCCACTGTTGTAACAGTGTATCCTGTTTATAACAAATCTGTAAGTGAAGTGCAAATCTTAATCAAAATTCTAATTGAATTTTTAGTAAAAAAAAAAAAAAAAAAAAAAGTCTTCCACCAAAAGATAAAACGCTAAAACATTTTCTAAAAATAAAATGTGAGATTTTTAGTTTTTAAGATCACTAACCTCAATTGGACATTATTTTTAGGTTATTGTGAACTAAATATAGCTTTAATTTTTTCTGCCCAACTCACATTGACTTCAGGCCAGGTGCGGTGGCACCAATCTGCAATCCCAGCAGCTCAGGGTGAGGCAGGAGGATTGCGGGGGGAAAAAAAAGTGAGGCACTAAGTAACTCAGTGAGACCCTGTCTCTAAATAAAATACAAAATAGGGCTGGGAATGTGTCTCAATG